GGTACTGGGAACCGAACTCACGACCTTGCGCTAGCCAGGCAAGCGCTTTGCCATTGAGCTAAATCCCCAGCCCCCTTACTTCCTTTTTATAAGTTCTTTTCTGGTTTAAGAATAGACAGTTTGGGAATTCTTTTCTAATACCAATGGCTCAGCTGATATTCCAGAATTATTTTTTATGATGATAGAACTTATTCAGAAGTCAAGATTCTAACCATATTACTTAGAAGGCTGAGGCAGGAGGACTGTAAGTTTGAGTTCCACCTGGGCAACTTAGCAAAAACCTACTTCAAAATACAAAAGTAATTTAAAAAAGAAAGGGCTGGAGAGAGCACTGCCGGATTTGATCCTCAATGTTGAGTTAAAAAGAAAAAAGAAGAATAAAAAGTCAAGATTCATGGAAGCTTACATTTCAAATGAAAGTTAATAACCACAACAACGTGCTCCGATTCCCGGGCATCCCCTTGCTTGCCATTTCCTGATGCTTTCAAGCATTTCAAACCCTTCCCAGACAACAAATCACAAAAGAGTGCTGTGAAGGCCAGAAGTGGGAACAGAGGGCTTATTCTCTTTGGGTTATAACCACAGCACCTGTAACAGCTGCTCTGCACAGGCTGGCAGGAGTGAGGGGAGGAGCTGGCATTGCCCTGGGGGAGAGGCCCAAAGCCACCACCATAAAGCACCGGGGCCATTGTGAGTGTAAGTTGATTATATGAATTCAAGCTTCTCTTCCAAGTGTCCAAGGAAAGCATCCCTGAGCATACTGCCATCTAAAGCCACCATGTCTTTCCTCATGGCAGGGAGTTAGATTCCGGACTAGCCAGGGTTTCCAAGGAGAAGGGGCAGACATATACCTAATTGGAGGGGGCCGTGTCACCATCGCTCCAAGGAAGAATGTAAGTAAACTTGCAGTCCTCCTGCATCAGCCTTCTAAGTACTGTGGACTGAGTGCCTATCCTGAATCCAGTCTGGTTACATCACAGACTCTACTTTCCATAATCCACACTGGAATTGATATTGTTCCCATTTTACAGATGGGAAAATGGAAATTCAGAGAAATGAAATGCATTTTCAACACTATATACTTATTAAAGTGACACAACAGATTAATAAAAGGAGGCTAGATTCCAACATCTGTGCTACTTCTGCCATGCCAAAGTGCCTCCTCCTCCAGCAAGTTTTCAAATAAATGGGCAGCAGGCAGAGCTACAGCTGCAGGGCACAGAACAAATGGGATACAGAGATTAGTACCACCTTACGCCTATTTCCTACTCTGTACTCTCAGTGCTGAATTGCTGGTCTCTCCAGGTTGGGACTGCCTGGAACCCACATGTCCTTCCTAGTCTCTTGGTGTTCATCAATTTCCACTTTAAGAGTAAAAATAAGTAAGTAAGTAAGTAAATAAATAAATAAATAAATAAAGTAGGCCCTTGGGGCAGGCCCTCCTCCTAAGCCACAGCCCCCACACTGTGTTGTCTCCTTCCTGCCCTCATTTGCCCTGAAAACTAGCTGTCAGGGGAGCTCTTTCTAACATGCAAGCCCAACTATTGTGCACCTCCGGTTGCCCAAGGCTCTCAAGATAAATGCTGAGTGTTTTACCTAGGTGTGAAAGGTTCTTCCTGCCCTGTCCCACCCTCACTCATCAGCCCAGTGGTATCTTCCATCACTATTTTAGTTGTCTGCTTCCTGAAATTCATGACAGCTACATTTTCAGTGGTTTTGGAAAATTTTTATTTACGCCTGCAATGCTCATTCCTTCCATACAGCCTCTGCTCTATTTCAAGGAGCAGCTCCTGGAATCCCCTCTGAGAGGAACTGGGGCACCTGCAGTCTCTCGGTGGTTTGTACTCACTGGCACGTCTCCACCATGGCCCGTGACACCCTACATCCCATGCGCGGCCTGCATGCTCTGTCTCCTGCAGGGATGTTTGTCATCATGACATGTAGTGCAGGATGTGATGATTAACTAGAATTCACATCCATTTTCTTTAATTTTTTTTTTGGTACTGGGAATCTAATTCAGGATCTTATGCTTGCTAGGTAGGTGCTTATGCCGCTGAGCTATATCCCCAGCCCAGACACCCATTTCCACAGAGCAGAGGCAATGGACTGGCTTTATCTGCAGAAAGCTGGGGCTAGTTCTAGATTTCTTTTAAATAGAAAAGGTGAATAAAATTCCATACTTTCCAATTTTGAATGTCTAACTATCCTAGGAAGAGCTGAATGGTTCTGAAATTGAGCTGAGTAGATTTATTCAATGGTGGCTTTTGAGCCAATGTTATTACAGTTCTGCTGGGCTGATACCTTGTGCTGTAAATGTGCTTAGGTCCTTCAGGTGCTCGGGTAGGTCATTCAAAAGTCCTCTAAATGGAATTCATACCCTTTGATGCTGCTTTTGGTTTTTGTTTTATTAATGGCCCTCTTGGGAGTCTGTGGCAACCTGATAAAAAAAGGTGAGTTTCTCTTCTAGAACCAAAGACCAGGAAGAAGTCAGGCTCCACTTGGAATGAGCTAGTATCTGATTCCTAACTGCAGCACATACTCCTTTGCTTTGCATTTATGTAAATAGTCAAATGCTGAACCAGCTCAGCCTCTGAAAGTACAAAGTCACATCTTACTTTAGCTCGCAGGAAATACTTCAAGTAGATGCATCTATGTTTGGGCAAACCCATGCACAACTCTGATGCATGGGAAAGAAGAGGCCACCTGTGCCAAAGCATGCACTCAAGTCTCTGGAAACTCACGGCCCGCTTGAAGATCATTTCTTCCACCAAGAGCATATCAGCGCTGAACTTTACTCTCAGCCCAAAAGCCTGGTCTGTTCTCAGATCTGACCAAAAGGACAGGGATGGGCCCTGGATCTGGTTAGCCTCTCTGAAGCCCCCACCTCCTGTCACTGATCAAGGCAGACTAGGAAGGATGAAATTCAACAGAAAACTGCAAGAATGTGAGGGCAAAGAGAGCTGCAGCTAGGCTGAGAACTGACGGCCAGTGTTCTCTCTCCTGCCAACATCCTTTCCCCATTCTTTACCTTCCAAAGACAGGAAAGGAGAGACATTTAGAGGAAGAGTAGAACAATAGAGAAACAGAGTCTGTTTTGTGCTTCTAGTTCTTTTAAGAACTGTTGAGTTGAACCATTTTTGCTTCTTACAACTACCCATTTTCCTTAGTCCTCTCCTGGAAAGCCTTTGTGAAAACAACCCTGAAACAGCCACTCCAACTGTCAACAGAGCTTGGGTAGAAAGTTAGATCTTATGTACTAGGTTTGCTGACAATGATCACCAAATACAGATACTCTTTTCTAGAATTCTGTGACAACAAGTTGTAGATGTATGTTTCCTAACTTGAACTAAATTTAACAGACTTCAGAAATGTGCTGTCATTTTCCTAATTTTCTGGTGTGACAACCAGGGCGCAAATCTACCTTGACACAGGATGGGAGAGAAAGGAGCTGTGATCACTTTGTGTTTCAGAAGGTGGCGCTCACCTGTGATCATGCTCAGTGCTGACAGGCAGGCTAAGGCTTGGATATCAAGGTTCAGGCTCTGCAAATTTAAGGAAAAGTCTTTAATGGAGTCGAGCCACTCCCCAAATCCACGAAGGCACTGAAGTCGATGCAGGACAAGTCCATTGCAGAACACAAACTTATCTTCAGCAGTGTTTGACCTGGAGGGAGAGGAGGGAGACACATTAAACTGGTCTGTCCAGTCTGACCAACATTATAACATCAAAACACACAGTGTTGGGAACCTAGTATGGCGGTGTCAAAGCAGGTTCATATACCTCCAAGGAATAAGACTCTGTTCTTGGGAATAAACAATGAACATCACTTCTCTGTGTGACGGACCCTGGGAATCATCATCCCAGAGCATGGTGGGGTTGTGGCACCTGCTATCTTATTTCTAGGATCAGTTACCAGTTTGCCCTGGAACAAGACAGGGAAGAGCTGGTAGTCAGGCATTATGGAAGGAAGGCCCATACATTGCCTCTCTCTCCGCAATGAGCATGACAGGTTCCCTTCAGGACTCTGAGTCAGGGCTGGTCTCTTATTTTCTTACGTGTCAATAACTGATAAGATCTGAGGCTAAACTGCTACAGTTCCACTGTGCAGACTCACAGTATCAAGTTCCTGCAAGTGCAAGAAGCCAATGATAAATTAAAAAATGACCTAACTTAAAATGAGTCCTAAATTTGTATTGCTTTCTTTGTTTTGAACATCAGGATGGTGGAGGGCTATTTCTAAATCTGCCCTGATAGTTTATATTATGTCCAAAATCATCCCATAGTCTCTCATACAAGGAGTGGGAATTTCCACTTAAACATCACTTTGCAATGTAACCCTGGACACTCCTTTAACCTCTCTGGACCTATAAAACAGGAATTATAATTACTACTTCCTAAAATTGTTAAGGGAATTAAATAAAGGATTTGAAAGCCCATGCACCGAACCTAGTACACAAGAGGATTTAAAAAGCATTAGGTGTAACTAATTCTGTTGTTCATACTTTAAACTTGGCTTTCCTTTAACTTTTAAAGTATCTTCCTACATATTTATCTATGTTGGCCTATTGAATTAACAAAGTCAATTTCTTTAACTGTATCTTTTCATTCCTTCTCTCAGCAAGTATTTACTGAGTACCAAGTGGTGAATAGGACAGATATGGTACCCATCTGCATGGAGCTTACCACCTACTTAATCCTTTGCTGGATACCTAATAGACAGAAGTCACGTTGCTGCATGGTTGTAGTGTGCAGTAAGTCCCCTCCTTACACACCAGTTCTGTTCTGGGAGAACGTTTGTAAGTTGGATTCATTTGTAATTTGACAGAAGTGAGTCTTATATAGTACACTGCGAATCTTACAGGACACCTGTGAAAGTTCATAACTCAAATGTTCATAAGTTGGGGACTTACTGTACATAAGGTTGGCTATAAAGGAAGCTCATTACTACTCTGATTGTAACTCCACCCCGTCTCTCCCACCGATCCCTTTATACAAGGCGCACACAGGACAGAATGATTTAGTGACAGAATTTAAACATGGACCTCTGACCACTGGCCTCAGGATCTCCAGGGCATAAGACAAAAATGCAGATTTCTGAACTTCCTCTGAGGTCTAGTGAACCAAAATAGATGAGAATGAGGCCTGGAAGCCTATACATTCGACAGGAGTTTCTAGTACCACAGGGTAAAACTGGGAAGAAGGTAGGAAAAAGAGAGTGGGGAAAGATTTTGATTTTTCCTCTAATTTTTGGTGAAATGTTGGCACCAGCTCCTAAAAAGGTATAATTGAAAGGAAGCAAGGAAGCAGTTAAACATACCATGTGTGAATAAAAACGGTGTTAAAGTACATTTGCCAAAAGGCTACATGCACAGCCTTGGGAGTATGGAAAAGGAACTGCCGCGGGACTGCCCATTTAGTCTTGGGAAGATCTGGATGGTTCTGCACACACAAAAATGACCTGAAATTTATGCACAGAAACCTCTACCAACTCATCTTCAGCTGACTGAATGCTGTACTACAGCCCTTCTCCAAAGCAGGGGTGGAATGTTCTAGTTTCACCACAGAGCTTATAAACTCATTTCATTTTTGGAATAAGCTTAAGGATTCCAGGTACTTTTTGTATGTAACTGTTCTTTTTTCTTGCGGGGGTGGGGGGTTGTTGAGACAGGATCTTGCTCTGTAACTCAGGCTGGCCTCACACTTGAAGCGATCCTTCTGTACCTCAGCCTCCCGAGTGCTGGGATTACAGATATGCACCACCATGCCCACCTGTTTTGCTTTTTAAAAAACAATTTGTTTCATATTACAACCCTTATATTAGTCAGTGGTCCATGTCCAGCATTATTTGAGCTATTTGCCATTATAGAAAGAGAAATACTTGTGTTTCAAATAAAACTGGTGCAGGAACGTATTGAAAAAAAAGAAGTGAAAAGGCTACATGTGAAATTTATGAGAAGAATTTAGACATGAGATTCAAATTCTTGAAAAAAACACTTCCTGTTTGTGTTTGGTGTCACAGTGTAAGACAGGCTGGACTAAATCTTTTGATTTAGGGATTGAGAAGCAGTGGGGACCCTTTAGAGTCCCATCGGGTGTTCTAGAAAAGTAACTTGTGAAACAGAAACCCATGAGACAAATACAGCATTCCCAAGAAAGTACCTGCAACCAGGAAATATCTTATACATCATGAGACTCTTCCTAGAAGCACAGAATACTGGAGTTGCCAAGAACATCAGAGATCACCAAATCCATTCCCTTATTGAATAATGGAAGGAGCTGAGTTTCTACCAAGGCCATGACCTGCTCAGGGTCTTTCAGCCAGTTCATGCTAGAACTGGTTCTAGAATCCAGAGGTCTGGGCTGCCATACCAGTGCTCTTTCTGTTACCCACCGCTTAGTTTTTTTCATTGCCCGATCATATTTCACCTTTGCTTCTTCAGCAGACTTTTCATTGATGATTCAAATACACACACAAAAGGGTGCACACTTCTTCAAATAAAGGAGTAGACTAAGGGAAGATAATAGTAATTACCTGATGGAAAGTCTGAGAACAAACAGCTCCAAAAAGGCTGATTCAATAAGTAATGTCTGATCTTCTTTGGGGAGATCAGTAAAACCCGGAATCTTTTCTGCCCAGCTTCTGGATACATCAATAGAGGCCGTCAGGAGGTTGTAGAACTGTTGCACATGCTCAGCATCTGTGCCTGCAGCAGCCTGGTCAGTGGGACAGTACTAAAATGCAAACCACAGAAAATAGCGTCATCCTGTTTCCATGGGAACACACCATCATTTGTAAATTGGCTCATCCAGACCGTCACTGCCTAAATCTTTACTTTTAGTTTCCAAGGTTTACAAAGCCCTTTTACCTTCACAGTCTCATCTGATTCTCACAGTGGTCCTCTGATTTAAATGAAGTGATTTATTATTATTACTTAATAGATGAAGAAGTTTGCACAAGTCCCATTAGTGCAGTGATTTTCAACTTTGTGCACAGCAGTCATTCGAGGAACTTTAAGAAAACGCTCTTGTCTGGGTCCTACCCCCAAGAGATTCTAACTGAATTGGTCTGGGCTTAGGCCTGGCCAGTGGGAATTGTAAAAGCTCCCCAGATGCCTCCAAATGGCAGCTCACAGTGAGAACCTCTGCTCCAAGGGCCTGGATCTGAGTGAGTCCCCAGCGACTGATTCTATTATAGCTTAGTAGTCTCTTCACAAGATGCTGCAGAACCCACTGGTTCTCAAAATACGCTCTCTGGAACAGCAGCATAGGGATACCTGGGAATGTGACGGAAATGATGATCACAGGCTCCACCCTAGGAACTCTAGGAATAGGCTCAGCAAACTAGTTGATCAAGACCTCCAGGTGACTCTCATGTACACTGAACTTTGAGAATGACAGAATTAACTAGTATGAGAAATGAACGTGTTTTGCTTGCTGTTGATGGATTTCTGTGAGACAAAAGAAAACTGGAGGTTGAGAGTGGAGTGTCTCCTTGGCAGAGCCCAAGCAGAGGTGTGACCTACGCATATTTATATTATCAAAATGTAAATAAAATTTAAAAGTTAGTTCATAGTTCATCACATTAGCCATATTTTAAGTGCTAATAGCAAACGAGGGATAGACATTTCCACCACTGCTGAGAATCTACTGATTGAGAAAGAAAGGAGAGGGAGGAAGAAAGAAAGAATGAAAGAAAAAAGAAAGAGGAAGAGAGAAAAAGGAGGAAGGAAGAAAGGAAGGAAAGAAGAGGGAAGAAAGGAAAGAAGAAGGAAGGAAAGGAGGAAAGAAATGAGGGTGGGGCAGGGAAAAATGTTTATGTCTCTACCCAGCTTTTAGATATTTTGGTAGAATTGTGAGTTTGCGTGAACCACAGAAGAAAAAAAATTTCTGCTTCAGGCAGGAAGATTGATGTAGCAAGATAATAATCAAGGGACAATCAGTAGCATAGAGATTTAAGAGATATACAAAACACACATAAATGTACACATCATTGCCCTTATACTAGCATAGCTAAGTGTGAATTGGCATTGTGTCTCTTAATTCCCCTTCATGGGACAGAGATTTTAACCTGTATTTTACAGACAAAGAAACTGAGGCTCAGAGAGGCCAAGAAACTTTTCCAAGTGAGGAATCAGCAGTGATAAGGCAGGAAATAACTGGCCATGGGATTTCAAGTCCTATACCTCCTGGCTATTAATATGTTAGCCGGTTGCCTGATGGTTTTTGGGATCTTTAAAAAACCATCCTATTTTACTTTACTTGGAACTCTTCAGATCTGTATTCACTGGTCCCATCTTTCTGTCAATAGCACAGGAACTGGCACATAACTGATGAAATGCTTGTTGAATACTGTTTTCCATGAAATAAATGCCTAGGTTTGCCACAATGCCCAAACCTGTTTGGAGGAGAAACAGCCAATAAGCAGAATTGAGGTATTTACTGTAGAACTGCTAGGTATGAGGAAATGAGGCACTAGGCACTTAACTGCATCTTGTTTTCTTTATGTTTTTCCAACAAGCAGTAAGACATAACTAAAGAAACATCAGATAGGGAGCCCAGGTAGTTTAATCCCTATTTTATCCTGACCCATGATTTGTAAATTAATTTTATGATATTATTTCACGTTTCTGAGCCCCATTTTTCTCATTTATAGGATGGGGATAATAATACCTTCTTCAAAGTTGAGCTGTTAGGATTAAATACGATAAGATATGGGAAAGATCAGACGTGTAGAACAAGTTTAACAAATGATGATGGGGATGCTGCTGATGAGGGTTTGGATACTTGGGTCTGTCCCCACCCACTAGCTTACATATTTATTGGATAGGGGAATGGGTTAAAGCAGGAGTTTCCTAATTTTCATCCTGATTTTCTACAGCACTGAGTCCAGTTTAGAGCCTTGGCTCCTCTGTTCCCAACAGTCTCACAGAATACCTAGGATTCTGTGAAGTCCTGGACACTGTATCATGCCACAGACCTTGAGGGCAAAGTCCAGGGGAAGAAGGCAGACCCTCTGCCCAAGGACAGTCAAGAATGTTGCATGACCCTGTGTCAGAGATACTTCCCATCACCTCCTTTGAGTATACACACTCTTAACTGGAGACGAGTGGAGAAAAAAAGGATTTAATTTTTTTTTCTTTTAACTTTCCTGTTTCATTAATATGATTTCATAATGTTCTTTGAGGGCAAGATAAAATTCAGGGCAGAAATTCCTTTTAAAAGCTGGCAGCATTACACGTGAAACTTCCAAGTAAATGGTAATGTGAAGTAAAGAAACTGGACTGGGCAACAGGGCTGACCGTAAGGTCCCTGCACTGACCTGCTGTGCAGCTAAACACAAATCACTTAATCTCTCTGAATCTCTCTGTCGCAAACAGAAATCGCCTGGATTTGCTGATTCCTCGGATTTTTTCTGCCTCTTGCAGTCAAAGATTCCAAATATTGCTAAGTCATACCAGGTGTGATGCAATTGCTTAAAATTTGACACTAATTCAGCATTATTTTTAAATAGTGGGTTAAATGGAGAGAAAAAGATACAAACTTTCCCCTGGAAGTGAGATCTAACAGCACCCTTCTGCACTGACTGCCCTGAAGCATGGCTCACACCTCAACAATTGTTCCGCTCTCCATATTTGTTCAGAACCCACCAGAGCGCTTAGCTTTCACCCAGCAGCCTCTGCAGGCTTCCACTCCTGCTGGGCTCACATTTCATGCCTTCTGCACTCAGGGAAGAGCAGTCCCTGCCTACTCTGTGTGTATTTTTCTCTGATGGAGCTCAGCAAGGAAGAAAGCCAGCAGGCCTGGCCCAACAGAGTTCAGCCAGACCCTCTGGGCTTCACCTGCAGTGATTCTGGTCCAAGTTCCAGAATTTTGGAGCCAAACTGGGTTCAGCCTGATCCACCAGTAACCTGGGGGTGACTGGAGAGTCAGCATCCAATGCTGGGAGAAAAGAAAAACTATCTCCTGTATTACACATAAAATTTAAAGAAATACAACAAAGCACCCTACATTCTCTGCCGAGCCTACTGGTTTAGACCTGGAGTAGCAAAGATGGGCCCCTACTTCTGCTTCTGTGCTCCTTAACAGTTCACTGTTTCTGAGTGAGACAGATTTGGATTCACCAAGGAAAACCTAGAAATATTTGTTTATTGATTATGTAAATTCAACATAAGCCAAATATAGCCAGATTTTTAAAAATGAACTTTTATCTTGCTTATGCTAATTTTTCATTCCAGCCTGTATGAATACTTGATCCACCAGACTGTGGATTTAGCAGTAGTCAAAGACATAGAATTACATTCAGCAACAACCAACTTAATTGAGATTTCTCCAAAACACTGGGAATGAGAAGCTGGAGCTGCAAACAATAGCAATAGATATTATTTTAACTACAATGAGTCCCCTGGGGGGAGTAACACAGCCGGTAAAACTCAGACTTCAGCAACAGCTTACTCTTAAAATAAGTTATTTCAATGGTGAACACCGGTGCTAAAACATTACTGATGTGGTGCTTCAATAGCAGAGTGGAACTGAATATGTGTCTCATCTCTAGTCCTGGCTAAATATGTAAAATAGCCTCTGGACAAGCTTTTCTCCCTTTAGTATGTTACTTTTCCCTAGGTCTTTATACTTCTAAAAATGTTAGATCTGATCATTCTATTGTCAAACTATGTATGAATATTCTTAGGCTGTCACACTTTTTAAAAATGGCACTTAAACATTGTCAATAAAAACAAAATTGGTCATAAATATATTTTCCCCAAATTTCTTCTTTTCTGACCTAACTGCCGGCCCCTCTCCCCTGACTGAAAAAAAGAAATAAAAAAATTGCCCTCTTCCCACCAATGACATCATGCTGTTATGTGTTTTCCTTCTTTCTCTTTCACTGGCATTAGGTTCCATGAGAGCAGGGGCTTTGTCCTGTTCAACAATCCATGTGTCCACTGCCCTAGAACAGCATCTGACAACCAATAGGCATTAGTAGGTATTTGTTAAATGAATTTCACTGCTTTCTGGAAAATGTGTATCTCTTTTGATTCTCCTTTCACAATTGCAACAAAAACTGGGAGATTCAAGGTAAAATTAAATTGTAATTATTAACTTATATTTGTGGCTCTCAAACCTTAGTGTGCTGAAGAATCATCCAAGGCACATGTTAAAATACAGAAGCTTGCCTGCTGCCTTTTTTCCTTAACTCTGATTCAGGAGGTCTGGGTATGCCTGGAAATCTGCATTTTGAAGCAAACACCACAGGTCTTTCTGGTAGAGGCAGACTGGGGTCCAGCTCAGGGGAATGCTGACTTTTATTCTTAGTGGAGCTGTGGCAGGGATAAAGGCTGGAGGGTCAGGGAATGACAAGGCTGGAAAAGATCACCGGAATGCAGTTGGTCGAATCTCTACCCTATTCAGATAAGGACACAGGTCCACAGAGGGATGGGAACTGACTTGAAATCAACTAGTCAATTAACTGGTGGCAGTTTGACACAGCCTCCTCAATGTGAGCGTTCACATTTCAGCTTCATGAAACCACTCTGACAGTCTTCATGCTTCTTCCTTCCTAGGTCTAACACATGTTAAGCACATGGTTTCTTACAGGCTATCTTGTTAACATTTAAGTACCATTTGCTGGTGCCTGGTTTCATCTGAGGAATATCTCTTGTACTTGCAGTCTATGTCTGCCTTAAGTGGCACCAATTGCCAGAAAACATCCTAGTGTGCTGAAAAATACTCAGAGTGGCCAGCTAATGAGGGCATTAAGTATATTTCCTCATAAGTAGTTCTGCAGGCGCCGAAGCCAAGCTCAGTGTCTATATATACTCGTACTGCTAAATTAAAAGCAACTGTGGGGCAGAGAATAGCAGCCTTTTGAGGAGAAACAAATCACATGTGACATGTTTTGACTGCACTGATGTACAATGATCTGAACTCATTTATGAGGGAGAGAAGTTTGGCCCAAAGGAGGAACGAAGGTCCCAGAGCCAGGAATGCGTCACAGAGCTCAGGAGCTCTCTTCTGGCCTTTTGAAACATTCGTTCTCTCTGTGACTTGGAACGAAACCTTTCCCTTTCTCACTAACAGGGAGAAAACTGCTCACTTCCTACCTTAAAGCCATATCTGCTGATACATGAGGATTAAAACATACTGGGCTGGCAAAAATCTCCTTTCTTTACTGACCTGATTCACGGGGGAAAGACAGCACCTTTAATAAATTGTATTGGTCAAACTGACTGTCAGACTCAAACCTGACAGAGTAAACTTAAAATGTAGTAAATTATAGATACATATTAAAATGCTCACATTAGTTACTACGGAGGAGTGGAAGGAGGCAGGTACAAAAGAAGAAAAGATGCTTTTTATTGTATCCACATCTAAATGGTTGCCTTTTAAAAAACAAATGGGTATATTTTACTATTATTATAATTTTAGAAAAATTTAATGAAGTTTCTATTTTTAAAAAATCTAATAAATTGCCATTAAATACCAGTGGCAGTATGATGAAATAGAAATACTACCTTGAGTGATATGATTTGGATCTCACCCTAGCCCTGCCACTGATGTCTGGCAAGCAAACTAATTTAACCCTTATTTCACTTGTCTGAAGTTATAGGGTTTGTATTAGATGATCTCAGGGTCACCTCTTGTATTATGAAATTGTAAATATAAAATATTAAGGGGAAGATATTATGAAAGTTAAATTTCAACAAATGACAGTCTTAAAAATGACCAAAACCATAAATTATGCCACACAGAGCTGGGGGTTTAAGTGAAATTATATAAGAAATACATGGTGATGACTGGCCCAAAGTAGGCACACAATAAATTCATTTGTTTCATTCATTTTATGTACTAATGGTTTGATTGAGAACAAAGCAAGTTCAATATTGGTAAATACCTAGTTACTTTACCGTATGTATTCTTGTATGTGTATGCATATATGAATATTTACACATAAGGACAATAAAGTAAACATCAGAATCATAAAATCTAGAGTTGGAAAGGACTTAATGTCATCCAGAATAACCTTCCCCCCTGTGAGGAATCCTGTTACATGTTCTCCTTGATTACTTCTTGTGTTGCTGATCTCACACTTTGACAGCTCCTTGTATGGCCAGGAGAGCTTGTCTGTCCCTCTCCTTCTCCCTCTCCATCTGCCAGCAGGAGTGACAGTCTTTTTTTTTTTTTGCCACAGGGCAAAAGAGTGACCTAATTCCACCAAATCTTCTCCTATCTTGTATTTGTATTTCCATTTCCTCCAAATATTCCTCACAACTTTCCAGAGACAACACGTCCACATGCTTCTTACACTCCAGCTTAGAACTGGACTCAGTCCTTGAAGTACGATCTGATGGGACAGAGTTAATGGGACCACTCTAAATTTGGTGGTGGTCTCATAGTTCTAGCACTGCAGCAGGTAATTCAGAATCCCTTACTTTCACCAGATACGGATTTTGTTGGTTTATATTGTCTATAGAACAAACTCTGGAACTTCTTAACACGAACCACTGACAAGCCAAGGCTCTCCCATTTTTTTATATAATTCTAAAAGCTGAGCTTCACATTTATTTTTGTTAACTTTCCTCATGATGGTTGCAGCCCTTCCTGTTCCAACCTGTCGAGATCACTCTGAATGTTGATACTGACATCCATCATATTAGCGATCCCTCCCAGCTTTCTGTCATCTGCAAATGTGATCAGCATGCTCCTATGCCTTCATCCAAGTTTTTGATGAAAACTCACTGTATTTTTTAAAAAGTCTTTTTATTTAGTTGATTTTGGTCCAATTTTTGATAATTTTGTAAAGCTATCTAAAAGCAGGAGGACCCAAGCTATGAGGTTCAACCTGATTCCAAAACAATGCAATTAAAATAAATATGCTTTGCAAAATTGAGCCAGGCCCCATAGGTATTATCAATGTGACCCTGACTCTGGCGTGGTCAATCTGGTATTTTGGACAAAGCTAACAATTAAATTGGATAAATGTTTGTTGATGAGGATGATGACTCTAGACTAACAGACTGAATGGTGCGGAGGCAAGCAAACACACTAGATTGATTTTTCAGTGTGGAGACAGTTCCCAGCTGGGACAGCTCAGAGGGCTGGGGAGGGTTCGCCACTGAATGAGTAATTAGGCCACATAGACTGAACAATTGGATAATTTGGGGCCAAAATATCACTTTGGGGGCCTACCTTCTCTGGACTTGGCATCAATAGTGATGTTAAATGTCCTAGAACAATATCAGATCATGGGCTGAAGCCTTAGCCAAAGCAGTGTCTAGAAGCTTCACTAAGGAAGACGTGTTACACAGGGAGAGTCCAGGGTGCTTCAGGGAGCAGTCATCATTCCCAAATATTTATCTAGCACCTACTTTCACTGAAATCAGCAAAGCAATGAAACTTGGTATTAAGAAGCACAGATTTGGGGGTCCAACATAGTTGGCTCCTAATCTTATCTCAGATGCATGTTAGCTATGTGATCTTGGACAAGCCAGCCTGTTAGTTTTTCCTAGTTTTAATTTCCTCATCTGTGCAAAAGAAATCATAATGGCACTGCTGAATGGTACCTGATATGTGTAATGTTCATACTCATTAGTACATTCAACGTGTGCATAGATAAGAAAGTTTGGTTAAGGAAATAATACAGAGTACTGTACTAAAGCCTTGACACATAATATCATATTAATCTTTACAAAACAACTGCAAAAAGCACATATTATTACCCCATAGCACAGATGAGGAAACTGAGGCATTAATAGGTTTAATTAGTTGCTAGTAAGGGTCATTCAGCTCATAAATGATGGTGCTGAGATTTTCATCTAGGCTTGCATGCTTCCAAAGCCCACACCCTTAACCACTGCATCAGTCTGTAATACAATTATTTAAGACTTGGCTTTAGTCAAGAGATGCTGTCTATAATCAGAACAAGAGTCCTCAGCATTTGGTGCTAAAAATCTACTGTGCTCATATGGAGTTTTATGATCAGGCGCAGATAGGAGGCTTCACAGGCTAATGAGGGTGGGGATGAGAGAAGAAAGATCATAGCAGGTAACCAATCATTTCTGTGAACACTGCAACCTAAAAGGAGGGCAACAGCAAAGGCACACTCACACTCTTTGCCAGATGTTCAACCAGATGCCTGAAATGCTGACTAGACCTGGGGAAGGCAATCTAATAGTAGCTGCCAGTCAGATCAACCAAATGGGGACCCCTGCGCTGGTCTCTCTTTATCTACGTTTAAATTTTCTTGTCTTCCAGTGAAAATAACAATCCTTAGAGTTCATGGCCATTTAAAGGATCAAATGAAACAATGTACTACTCTGTCTAGCATATAGAAATTATTCAGTACCTGTGATATTTTCCTCTTTCCTTTCCTCTTCAGTCAGATCATGTTTAACTGGAAGTTTTCTTTTCTAAATCATTTTTTAAAAGACCCTACAGTAATATTTATACATTTTCTCAGAAAATCCTGTTTCATGGCTCTTATCTGTATTATCCAAATTTGAAGACAATTCGCAGAATTAGACTGATAAGATTTTACTACATCCCTATGAAATAAAAAATGTTTGTGTGTTTTGGTTGACTTAAATAACCACACTGGTAATGTTATGGTTTTCAAAATGTTTCCATCGTTCTGTATGACTGATGCTCAATACATCCCTCCAGGGTTAAATATCATAATCATCTCCTCTGGAAGGAAGAAAGCCAAGGGCAGGAGCCAGGTGACACAGGCAGGAAGCAATGAGGCGGAGGCAGAGTTCCATCCCAGTCCTTTTTATACTTCCAAATGTGAAGGCCAGAGCTTCCTAGCCATCAATGTTCTAATCCTTCTGAATAAGCAGCAGATTAATCAGTGCCAGTGAAATGGATAAATTGCTTAAGGATAACTTGAGGCTCACTCACATAGTTTCATCACAATATGAAAAAAAAGCAGTAGTCACTTTGTACAGACCATGAAAGAAATCTATCTACAAATTTTAGTTCACCTGTACCGATTTTCATTGGCATAACCACCAGGAATCCTGCAACAGTGAGTACCACAGGTGCAGCACTGTCAGGATCATTTGTTAAGGCATTTAGAGATCCAATAAGGCGAACATTATTTGGTGCAATGGAAACACTGAATTGCTAAATGAAATGAGAAACACAGAAAAAGTATGAAAACTGATTACCACAGTACCAGGCCCAAAGTCATTCAATCAACTCTTATTGCTATGAAGTATCATAAATACAGATGCTGATAATTCAGTCAAAACTGGAACATGTAAGACTTACTCTGGAGTAATCAAGATCTCTGGGTGTTGAGTCTGTTAAAGCTCGGACAAGGGCATTCATCATACAGATTGGAGGAGAAGGTGGAGAGGGCTGAGAAGGTTCCTGATGTAATGGGCTCTTTGGTTTGGAAGGCAGCCGACCTCTCCTCCCTTTTAGACTATCTGTACGTACAACTGATGCAAAGAGAAAAAGAAAACAATCTGTAAAGATTATGTTATGAAAAAGCATAAATCTCAAAAAGGAATCAAAATAAATGATAGTTGGGGAACCATTAATAACAACTTAAAAGTGCCAGTAAGTTTGGAATAACACTCAATGCTTTCATGAGAGTTGAAGCAAGCCTCAAAAAGGATACTCCATACTCACAGTTGGTAGTGAATTAGCCTTGAAATTTTCCTTCTTAAATAGAACACAAATGCATGCACACAAGCTCTCTACTGATTTTGAGAAATCAGAATAAGTAGTCTGCAGGTATTTTTAAATGTAAATATATTCCATACAAATAAAATGTTGGAATGAAAGAGTAATAGGGAAATTCACCATCCTTACATAAATATTAACATTTTTTTCAGTGATGTCTGAGAAGAAATGAATTGGATGAAAAGCATCATATCCATACCTTCTTTAACCATCCCGACACTGAGACACTTCTGAAATCGACAGTACTGACATCGGTTTCGACGTCTCTTGTCTACTGGGCAGTTTTTATTTGCCAGGCAAACATATTTTGCATTTTTCTGCACTGTTCTCTGAGAAAAATACAATACAGAGATAGTCAACTAATAGTTTCTGGAAAGAGGTAGGACCTGACAAGATGTATTTTAATTACAATGTGAAAAGCGACAGTGCAATTTGTATAATTAGATAAATTTAATTTCCTAACACGCTAGCCTGCAGGAAAAACAATTTTATTAGTGTTAGCTGCTGACAATGAAAATCATCTCGGATTGCTCTGAAGCAAGTCTCAGGAGGCACGTAACTCTGAATGATAAAATCATATCTGAAATTACCAGGTCAACATATCATACCTTGGAGGATTATATTATCTCCACTTTTAATATCCCTTTGAGAACAATTTTCTACTTGTTCCACTCCCCTGATTATTGCTGACCTTATTAAAATAAAATCAAAATTATCTGGGATGTACTTTGTATGCTATCACTATTGTAAGTCAAATATCACAGTAACTGGCTTTGTTACTCAATGAAGATAAAAATCATAAAGAGCAAAATCAGGATTTGTTTTGTTAAAATATATAGCAAATAATATTCTAGTTTAAAAAGAAATTAACTTAACTAGTTTTTGTAGTTTATCTTGTCTTTGAAGAATATATATAATACACAAGCCATTTCTGATTTTTGATGGCAAAATCTTAAAATTGAATTAAAAAACCATTATCACATCTGAGAAAGAAACAAAAATCCCCAAAGACAAATAAGAATGGGAGAAAGAAATATGAAAGCCATATATTTTTCAGTGAAAATTCCCATTAACAGGTTATTTCATAAATGACTATTGATACAGACACTAAAATAGCCATATTGCAAAAGGCACATCATAAAAACTTGAGCTTGGATATAAAAATAACATCATATTTTTCAGAATCACGTAGAATTTTTTGAATGACGCGTGGAAAAATAATTAAACGTACTCTGGGCTCCAAATGTAAAAGAATTCTTTTTTGTAATGGAAAACATTTGTGCAAATAGATGCATTTTTTACCACTTACAGTGAAATTCTTCGGAAATTATTTGGATCTATACAACTCTAAACAGAGAAGTTGGCACTTACTTGGGAAGTCTGGGCTGTATACAAAAGAAAAAAGCCCAGATAACTTGGGGTTTGTGGTCTACTTTGTACCCAAAATTTTAATTTACTTTCAACCTTTTTATTTTCAGGAGTCCTCACCTTCTATGTTTCAGTTTTTACCCTGTCACCTTTTAAATTCATCTGAGGGTATAGCTTCTAAACTGTTGTCACGTAGCTTTAAAAATTTAACAAAGCCAACCTATTTCAAGTCTAAGATGCATCTGTCCAGTTTGAAATGCAAAATTCTAGGACATAAACATACTCCTGAGCATTTAAATTCTTAGGAGTCTGTAAGGATAGGAAACTTGTGTTTCCCAAATGAAGCTCTTTTTCATTGGACATGCAGTAATTTCTAACAGTCTACTTCTTGGCATTATCCTCAAGACAATATGCCAATTTAAGTGCTGGTGGCATTTTGCTTCAGGTGTACATTTTCCCAATAACCTGAAGCCTTCCCCACATTTGTGTGAGCCTGCACAGTTGAAGGACAGGGAGAGATCGTTATGGTTCAATCACTGAATTCTCATCATTAACTGCACTTCATGTCACATTTTTAAAGAATTCAATTTAATGGTAGAAAGCCACTGGGTAAAACCTGCTCCTGTTCCTTTAATTAACAGATCTGTGGGGTGGTTCTCCCTATCCTGCCCCCCCCTTCAAGTATAGATTTGTTTTCAAGGGATTGCTGCAAAAAAGGGAAGCTGTTGGGGGAACACTTAATGGAGATTTTTAGATTCATTATGAATAACCACTCTCAGATTTTGGTCAACTCTCAATTTTTTAAGGGTGATTCTATTTGCGGATTACTCATACTTCTCTTAATTGTTTTTCTTTTTTTTCCCCCTCCCTTTCTGCTTTCTGTTTCACTGCCCTTCAGTATTTCCAAGGAAATTCTGTAAAAAATCAAACCTGCTAAAGGAATGCAGTTAGTTGAAATTTGAGTAGTTAAGATAGGGGAAAAAGAAGACCAACCTTAACAGCAAAAAGGAGGTGGGGGAAGATTCTGCATTTAAAACTTCATAGTTGTGCATGAAGACTTGTAGGGCATTTAAGATATTGCAAAGTCTTTCCACAAGCATTTTACCATTTATCTACAGAAGTCAATGAATGACATGATTGCCATCCTCACATAAAAATAACTGTTGGTTGTTGGTATGTATACCCACCTACAAGTATACATTTTTACAAATACTTTGTAGTTTTCCTTTAGTCATAAGCTTATTTCATGGTCTTTTAAAGATTATAAAGTGCTTTTGTATAAGTTTTAATCTCATTCACTACAGCCATTCTCTGAGTTATATTCCTTGATAGGGAAACAGAGGCTTAGAGAGAAGTGTCATACCCAAGACTCCCAGCTGAATCTTCTGCCCTCAATATTACTGTGCTCCCAGACACAACCTATTGCTCTCCCAAATCCTATTTACCCAATCAGCATCTCATTTCCCTTTTTCCTCTGTCCTGCCTGGCATTGGAGGCTAGGCAGTGACTTGTGTGGATCTGAAATAATGGTCAGTGGGGTGAGGAGAGAGGACAGCGGCACAGAAGTACCTGAAGGACTCAGTGACAGAAGGCAGAGCGGAGAGAGAAGTACGTCTTCTTCCCTGCCCACTCCTCCACTCCTGTAGTGGTGGGAAGAGCATGCAGTTTTGTAGTCAAGAGACCAGCTGGACCCACCCCACATGCACACATGCTGCTAAACCACTGTGCAAAACCTGACCAAGGGTTTGCCTCTCTAGAGTTGAGCTTCCATGAGCTATGGGGAGGTGCAGATCCTCCCACTGTAAAGTTCTCCTTGGGGTCTGTGAGAGAACCAACAGTGGTGAAACTTGCTACTGTATGTGGTACAGAGGTAAGGAAGGGTTTCTAGAAGACAGTGAATTGGTGGGACTCTAATTTCTATCTTCTACGGTGGAGCTGCCCCAAACTGCATGTGGGCAATTGCCTGTCTACTGTGCTCCCACACTGGGGTCATGCAAGCATCAGTTATTATCCTGCCTCCCTTTTGCTCCCCCAGTGTTTGTCCTAAGGCAGCTGAACTGCCTCTCTGAACTACCATACCTTCATGTATGAAATAAGCATAATTATTATCTACCTTCAAGATACTGTTGATAGTGAGTGGGCAGAATTCCACATCAGGCCTTTTTGATTCTAGAGTTCTGCCTCTTACTGTGAAGTCTGAGACACAAAAGTCCAGGGCCCTCCCCTCTGATACCCTCAATGGACTGAAAGGAATGCAATGAGCTTTTAGCACTGTTGAAGCACAGATCTTTTGACAGTCTGCTGAAAGCTCTCTTCAGAAAAAAATGCTCATAAGGCAGTGTCAGGCTAGGAGATTTGCAGACCCCTCAGATCCATCTGGGTGGTCTTCTTGTACGTTGACCTGAAGTTAAAAACCCCCGAGAAACACAGCTTACTGATTACAGGACTCAAGCCAGAAAAGACAGCGGCTACTCCTACAGCACTGGCTGCAGGAAGGGGCCGGCTTGGGACAGGATGAGAGGGGGCGTCAAGAGGAGGCGGGTGCTCACCTTGAAGAAGCCCTTGCAGCCCTCACAGGTGCGCACCCCATAGTGCTGGCAGGCGGCGTTGTCCCCGCACACAGCGCACGTGCCTTCTCCCGAAGATGAGCTCCTGTTGGGCGGCGACGGCAGGCTGGGGCTCTCGCCCAGCAGGCTGGAGGCAGTAGGGGACGCCGTGAGGCCGAGCGGCGGGAAAGCCAGCGCGGCCGCCCGCTTCGCCAGAGGCAGGCCATACGGGTGGCCCTCGAGCGCGCCAGCCTGGCTGCCTGCAGCGGCCGCGGCTCCCAGGGACAGGCTGAGCGCGGCGGCGGCCGTCGGGTCATAGCCAAGGTGGTGGCCGCTGCTAGCGGGGCTGGGCGCGGGCGGGTGCGGCGGCGAGGGCTTGAAGTGGAAGGGCGGGAAGCGCGCGCCGGCCACCGTGGGCACCGTCTTCATGGGCGGGTCTAGCAGCGGACCGGACGCGACGCAGCCGGGCGCAGAGGAGGTCAGCGCGTCGTCCCACAGCGCCCCTGCCTGCGGGGGGAAGCCTGGCGTGGTAGGGGTGGACGGCGGGGACTGCTTGAAGTACATAGACGTGCTGGGCAGCACCTCCTCCTCCGGGCCAGAGGGGGTTGGAATGGATGGCTGCTGTTGCTGGTGATGGTGGTGGTGGTGGTGGTGATGATGATGGTGGTGGTAGCCAGGTGCGCGGCCCTCTTCCATCTTGATCAAAGGCCGTGGCCCAGACGGCTGCATTTGGTACACGCAGGAGGGCTTGATTTCGTAGCTGCTGGAGTAGCCCTCCATGAAGGTACTGAAGCTGGGCAGGGATGTCGTGGCTGTGGCCGTGATCTCTGTGCTGCCGAGGTCCATGGTCAGTTTGGCATAATCGGGATTCATGATCTCCGTGCTGTATTCCGAGCCATAGGTCTGCGCTGCATAACTGGACCCTGGAGGCGAAGGGCTATACTGGGCTTGCACACAGGGCATATCTGCAGGGCCAGGGAGAAAGGTCTCTCAGAAGCAAGTCAACACTTTCCCTAGCTAATAGGCAGTGTTGGATTCACTGCTCTCTAATCTGGGAAACACAGGAAGTGGCAACCTCTTCTCCTTCTGGTTGCACAGACTTAAACGCCTCATGCTTACTTTTTTTCTCCCTGGGAAGACAGCTGAATGCCTGACAACAAAAGGGACTCCAATACTCATCCTTTCTCTTTTGCTCTGTTCTCCAAAGAACTTCATGTCTTCCCTCACAAATCCAAAGATGTTTTTAAAAAGTGGCTTTGAGTCCAATAGACTAATTGGAGTGGCCTCCTAAGCCACAAGCTGGGAGGATAAAGGAAAAGCCTGCAGATGCTCAGTTGGTTAATTTTGGGAGAAAGAGACCATTGGTCCCCCAAGCTATACACACTGATTTGTAAACCTAAGAGTTAGTCAAAAAGATGTCCTGTGTGGGACTTACTGGCCAAGAAAGACAGTGACATTCTAACATTTTATCAGTGCCAACTGAAGCTGCCCACACAAGTTGTGGTTGCTTTTTCCCACCCCCTCCTCCCTCCTCCAAACAGGACTAGCAGCCTGCACAAACTGGACCCCTGCTGATGACTTCAGCCAGCTAGGTGGAGAGGTGGGAACGTAGGCCCAGGAAATGGACTGGGGGTGTCTGTGCCATCTGCAAAGAAAAATATCAGCAGCTGAAAAACAAAAATCCACCAAACCTGTTCTCTGCTATACAGTGTGTATGCATATATATACATATATATGCAAATATATTTGCCAATTCTGACTAAGAAGATATATCAGTGGCTGTTCTATGGCAACAATCAACACCTAGCATTAAACAGGCAAGTTAGTTGAGGTATTTTCTTATGACAGAAAAATTCATCCCCTAGAAAATAAGAAAGCAGTTTTGGAATAATTTGGTTTATCTGCCAGTTTGACTATTTGGAGCCTCCAAAGTGATTGGTATCCAAGGTGCTTACTATTGTTCAGAGAGGCTAACCTGGGCGAGAAGGTCTTGAGAATTATTGGCTTTAGTGGGTGATTTATCTGATTATTTTCCTTTTTTATGGTTAAATAGAAGTGATAAAAGGGGCATTTTCTAGTGGTTGGTTTTTCTGAGCCAAAGGAAAACCAGGTGCTTAATGTCTGCTTGGAGTCTGTGGTGTAAAAGGTGTGACTAATAGAAACGTGAGCACTTCAGGTTTCCTTTGACATCTTTCTCTTACCCACATTTCCAACTCTGATTGAGTCATGCGTGTATGGGATGAAATCTTGACTTGAAAAAAGGTGACGAGGGCCTGTTGGAAGAAGCAGTGAGAAGGAGGGGCCAGTTCAAGACTTTAATTTTTTTTTTTTAAGCAGGGCCTTAAAAGCACACTCACTAGTTTGAAGCTAAAGCAGTACTTATCTTGGTGTCTGTCCAGGTGGGATGAAGTGAAAGGCTGATCATTTACCTGGTCTTTTATCCATATTCCTTCACCACTTCTAGGATTTCTCCCAATCTTTTTTGTCATTCTTTGCTGTCCTTCCCTACCTATTGCTCTTTGTGGCTTTCTGAAGTTTCCAGCTGGAAGATGAGCTTGCTGAGATTCTGCTCTACTTATGTGCACATCTCTGGTTCCTACACAGGCCTGGCACCTAGTATCCCTTTAACAAATTTGTAGAGGTGATGCAAACCAAACCTGCTGCCCTTTCCTTTGCCAAACTCACATTTACTCCTTGGCTTTCAGCTCAAATGTTTTTCCCTTTCCCTCTGAGCTTTACTCATCTAAATATCTGCACCCAAATGACAACTGGGTTTATAAAGATAAAAATGCCCCTATTGCTGTAAGGGCATTTGTGCCCTACAGGGCATTTGTGTCTGGATATAAAAGAAGAGCAAAAATTAAGACTTAAAGATCCCAGTCTACGACAGTATTTGCAATTTGCTTAGGAAAAATAATTCTGAGAAATGCAACACTTAGTTTAATCTGGCTTTTCCATTCCTAGCAACAGGGTGTGGTACACAGAACAACTTCGTTTGGGGAAGTCACCTGAAAGGCCTGGCCAGAACTGTGCTGGCAAGCTGACCAGCCAGCCCTCTGGGTGCCGTTCCCCTGCCCCTTTCTCTCTGTGGGAGGGAAAAGAGGTCAAAGTTTCAGACCTACCTGGAGGGTATCTTGCGCGCTGAATGGTGGGGCTGGGGGTCTCTCCAGCAGAGGCTGAGAGCGTAGAAGGCGGGGACGTCCGGCGAGGCAAAGCTTCAGTGGTGCTGCCTGGTTCTGCTGAGTGTCCAGGCTCAGGGCCCGGGCTTGCCGGGCTGCGCTCTCCCGCCGTGGGCTCTGCAAGCACCGGGCGAGAGGAAAAAGATCTGAGACCACGATGGATCACAAAGCCCAGGGGTAGGCTAATTGGGGAAGTGTTGTCTAGAAAGGCTAGTTAATTACAAAGAATTATCATAAGGCTAAGTAAACGTGTTTAAATGGTCCCGGAGTCCCAGGGCAAGAAGCATCATTTCGCCTCGGGGAAAGCTGGGGAAAGGTTGTCAACATCCACAGCTTTCACCGCAGTTTTATGGCACACAAACCGAGGCTAAAAGCCCTGCAACCTGTCGTCGTTCAGAAATTGATTTCTTTGCCCGAGCTAACAAAGTCAGGAAAACTTAGGAAGGGGAACATTTGAAGATCTAGTTCCGTCTGAATTTGGGGGTCATTGAGTGGGCACGAGCGGAAAATAGCCATTTTCCAACTCCGCCTGCCTCCACCCTTCAAATACAAATTTTACACGTTGCATAGGAAATGCACAAGGTCCGGAACGAATGCATGAATGCCCCAAGGAATTAAGAAAGTCTGCGTTTTTCATTCTAAATGCTAATCGAGCTTCGCTTCTATTAGCCGCGAGTTTCGGGGGCCAGGGGTCAAGCAAACAAAAGGACACAGTGGAAAGAAGGCCAGCGCTGGAAGCCAAGCGAGGAGGGGACGGCGTTGGCGGCCGGTGGGGCGGTCGGAGGGAAGTCCCCTGCACGCAGCGGGAGGTGCCCCAGACGGTGGGCGGCTTCCAGGCTCCCGGCTACCCCGCAGCCCGGAGGCGGCACATTCCGGAGGGCGCCAAGCGCAGCTCCCGGACGAATATCTCAGCGCACTGCCTAGCGAAACTTTGTGGCTGAAAGCGCGGCTTCGCTGGCCCAGGGGAAAGGATCTGGCAGCCCCGGACTCCGGCCTGTAGCGCCCCCTTTGCTGGGGGTGGGCACAGCTCGAAGAGTAGGAACGTAAACCCTCAAGCACCCCCAAACCAAACACAAAATCTCCCTGGATGTGCGAGGCGCAACGGTCCAGTAAATTTTGTCTCCTGCCACTCCTGCGCCCGGAACTTAGCTGCAGGAGCGAAAAGGGGTCAGAGTCCCCAGGTCCGGGACACCCTCGACAGCCAGGAAATGGGGGACTCCCTTTCCACCCCCAGACCGAGCTGCTACGACGGAAAGCTTGAGCTTGCTGTAGCTTTGGCACAGAGGATCTTTCCTGTACTGTAGCTTGTGCTTCTCGTCTCCCTGCATCTTCAGTGGGTGTCTCCAGCAACTCTCCCACCGCCTCGTCCAGTGGGTGCCGGGGATCCCATCCCTCCTGGGAGGGTTTTCAAGCACAGCCTTTCTCTAACCCTGGCCTCTGAACTCGGCTGGACGAGGCTCGAATCTTCCCAAGGAAAGGGTTCCTTTTAAGCGCCCAGCGCTCTGGGGAGACAGCCACACTGCCCTTCCTACTGCCCGACCGAGCGCCCCACCGCTCTCTCCGCCCCCTGAACTGCCCGTTACCTAGGCAAAGCCTCAGCGCCGGGAAACACGTTCTGCCGCTCTCGCTCGCGGCCGCCGGGGCCGGTAGCACAGAACCTCGAGGTTGTAAATTAGGAAGCAATAACTACCTCTGTCAAAGCTCCTTTCTTTCTCGTGGGCAGACGAAAGGAACACCCCCGTGTTCTCCTCCCCGTGGCGAAGTGTGTGGAGGAAACCGTGAAACGCACCATTGTGACCCGGCTCCTCCGCGGAGTTTCCAACCCGGGGGAGCGGGGGCGGAGGTTGGGCGGGGGCAGGAGGGGTGGAGGAGAGACGGACAGAAAGGGAAGGACTCCGATTCTCAGAAAGAGCGAAGGAGACGAAGCAAACCTCGGGGGAGAATTTCGGCGAGAGCTTAGTCCTAGGGAAGGGGATTGAGGGTTGCCGGGGGAGGAAGAGAGTAGGGAGGGTGCGGCGGCCTGAGAAGTCTTTGATTCTCACGGCATGCGCATCTTGTTACGCTAAAATACCTGGAATAAAGTAATTTCATTCATTGTGCTCAGTTTCTGCGCCGGGCAGCTTCTCTTTCCCCTTATTTCCCCATCGTGGGAAAAAGAGATCCAGGACTGGATTCATGGTGGAATGACCGAACCTCCCGGCACCTCCCTCCCGGCACTCCAAGGCCCTGGGATAACAGCCCGAGATCGCTGATTACTAAACTCTTTGCAGCTATTCCCTCTGGAGAATCCAGGAGCATAAGTAAAAAGCAACCTCCAGGAACGTTCTTGGAAATCAAGGGACCAATGCTGTCCCCCTCAGAACTGCTCAGGCTCCCAACAGGTTCCAGAAAGTGCCTTTGGAGCTCAGTCGCCGCAGGCTGAGCTCGCAGGACCGCTCAGGTCTCGAGACCGAGAGCTTTCATAACACTAATACACTCGAAACAACTTCTCCGAAAGTGCGAGTTCTGCCAGTGACAAGTAAAACATGCTTTTCCCACACCGAGCCAAAGCCGAGAGGAGAGGGATGCGATCCCCACGCGTGTTGGGGCGCGGGAGCAGGCAGTTACAAACGATTACCTCCGAAGGGAAAAGTGTAAACCGGTAAGTCAGCGACGCCAGGCAGACGTGCCTAGTGGAGCCCCAGGCTCATTTCAATACAATAAGCCACATTCCTACAATTACGCCCTCTTTCCAGAGATCCTCCAAGCGCCTCAGCGAACTCCGGCCACTGCTGCCCAGGCCTCTTCCCTCCTAAGCTTTCTCCCAGACAATCAGCTCTGTTCCACCATTAGGTACATTAACTTGGATCCACCAGAGCAACTATTTTCAATCCTACTTAAACGGCAGGAAAATTACTGCCGTTCGTCACCGGGGCTGCAACTCCCTGTCTCTGCCGCCGCTGCCGCCGCCGCCGCCGCCGCCGCCGAGAGCATCATTACCATGACAACTAGAGCTGAAATACCCTGAATTACATCGCCAGAGCTGCTATTGCACAAATCCCGGTCCTCCTCTTTGTTAGAGGCTTTTCGCCTCTTCGGGTGGGGAGAGGACTCCCACCAGCTCCAGAGTCCCCGCCGGCACGCTACAGGGGAAAAGTTTTAGATCAGAACCCATGGGCTGCTGAGCGAGCGAAGCCGGAGTAGAAAGGCGGGTGCGTGTGGGGGGGACCCCGCGCTCAAAGTTGTCAATTTCAGGAGCGACGCTTCCCAGCGCGCCAACTTTTTAGCAAGTCCCCTTATTAACTGGGTAAATCTCATACGTACTTGAGTGCTGTGGCGGTTCCGTCTTTAGAGCGAGTTTCTAGAGAGATGCCCCGAAATCTGCACTGGGGGGTAGTCACAGCTGCTGTCCCGGAGGGGCTGCGGTGTACAAGCCCAGCGACTCCCGGAGACGGTGAGCGGCTGGTGAGGGATGCTGCGATCCCGACTCATGGGAGAGCGCCGCCGAGAGGTTCCGCCGGCGTCCTGGCTCGGGCCACGACCAGGGGGGAGGATGCCGCCGCTGCTCCCACCTCCACGGCCACCGCCTGCGCTGTCAGCGTCGCAAAGTGAGCCCAGGAGGGGCGTCCGGCTGCGGCGCGGCGCTGCACCGGCGAGAGCGCAGGGCAAGAGGGGTGTGAGCGCGCGGGAGAGTGGAGTGTGTGTGCGCGTGTGTGTCTGTGTGTGCGAGTGAGGGAGCGGGTGTGAGCGTGTCTGTGTATGGGCAGCGGAGGAGGAGCAGGAGCTGGAAGGGTGGGGGGCGGGAGGCAGGAGACTCCGCTCTCCCGGCTGCGCGCTCGCTCGCTCTCTCGGCACGTCATTTATGCCACAGGAGCCCTAGCGGCCTCTCCATAGAGTGCCTGGAATGCGAGACGTCAATGTGACGCCATGGGACGCTACGTCACCCTCCTCCTCCCTCCCCTGGCCCAGCCGGTTCCGCGTGTGCGAGGGAGGGTGTGTGTGTGTTTGTGCGCGCGCGCCCGTTCCTCGGCCATTCGCATGGCCGCACCATGGAAACAGCGCCCAGCTGCCTGCCCGGGTCCCGGGGGCTGGTCGGACCCGCGCTGTCAGCCGCTGCGCCGCGGCGCTGCTCGCCAGGGCGCGCATGTTCCGGAGGGTGCAGCGGCCCGCCCGCGGGTCAGGCGGGACCGCCCAGCTGTCAGGCTCGGGTGGAGTAGAGCTGGAGGAGTACTTCTGGCGCGCCTCCGAGGCTGCCCCGAGGCACCGAGCCAGGGCGAGGGGGCAGGGGAGAGGGCAGCTCTTCCGAAAGGGATGGCTCCGCCAGCCAGCTTCTCCGAGTGACCTGGCAGCCGGTGCTGGAGCAATTCTGGCACCAGCCCGAAGACTCCTGAGGTGCAGCTGCGCGTCCCTCCTGCAGTGGTTCTAAAGCTGTTTACGTCTCTCAGGTCCTCTGTGCCTAGGCTAATTCGCCTCCTGCTTCCATCAGATGTTGGGTGCTTGTTTCGCACAGGGATGCTGATGGCTACGGGGATTTTATTTCTTTACACTTACCGCGCGGGTTTTTACTAACTGGACACATTGTAACCCAACGAAGTGCACATCCATCATTCACGCGCACGCTGTAGCAGAAACTACTTAATGTGTATAAAACAAACACACGTGTTGGACAGCTGAGCGAGCGCGACTGCTGCAAATCAGCCTCCTCCCCAGTACCCTGTCAGAAATGGAGCTCTCGTGCTTTCACTTTTCTGAAAGTTGTAGATGCTTCTTCCAATTTCTTAAAAGAAACATTTACACATCAATCAACAGGATTTATTTGGCCTAGCTAGGGGATATTCTCCGGTCTCCTGGGACACATTTATCTTGAAATAGTATGCTGAGAGTCTGGGCGACTATATGGAGCACAGCATTTTCTCCCCTGGAAATGATGAGTTTTAAGCGTGAGTTACTTGCTCGAAAACAAAATAAGATGTATCAGTTAAAGACTCCTGGTCCCAAAGGTTGCTGAGTGAAAGCAGCCTCTTTTAGAAATGAATTTTTGAGAAGAAAATATGCAGACGGACATGGTCCCCACGTGGTCCACTTCAATCAGATGCGACATTTTATTTCCTTGACCTATCCCAATCTTTGCGTGCCTGTGTGTGTGTGAGGGGGTGGTGGTAGAGTTGAGAGAGGGGGTCCCTTTGTGGACAGCAGGTTTCAGATTCCAAGAAAGTTCGAGCTAGGACCAGAAACTTGAAAACAAAACTAGAGCTTATGGCATGTGTATCTTTCTTCGCCTCCACTTTCACTTCGGGCAGGCCGGTGTGGAGAAGATCGTGGGAGGATGCGCCAGAAGTTGACCCAGCCAAGAGGAACCCAGCCTCTACACCGCGGCAGGTTCCAATCCAGTCTCAGAAAGAAGGAGGGCGCTGCTACATTGTATCCATTCAAAGGCTGGAGGGGGGAGCAGGACCTGGAGCCGCACTGCGCTGACGCACGCGAGGCGCGTGATTGACGCAGGCGATGTTACTAAATTCGGCGGTTGGCCGGGCCCAGCCGCCGGCGCGCGCCGCAGATAGCGGAGTAGGTTCCCCTCGGTCACCCCCGCCCTCC